TTTTGGGATGGCAAACTTCTGCCGGCCACCATCTATTATAAATATTAAAAACAGGATTCACAGACTCTTCAGAGAGAGCGACAATCATTTCAATACTTTAAGTACTGTAAAGTGAAACAAAGACATTTGAACACAGACGTAAAAAGCACAGGACTCTTCTTCACACCTGTAGTTCCCAAGTTTGACCCAAATGATGTCTTGGAAGTGCAGCTTCTTCCCAGCTCTGCAGTCATTACAGAACCAGCTGCCGTCGGGCATGTCAATGTTCAGGCAGTCGGGGTGGAAGGCCGCTGGGCAGGCTTCGCAACACAGGAGGCTTCCCCCTGCAAAGGAGGCAGTGGCTGAGCCTGGGAAGCCAGGCTGCATGCCCACCTCAGAAGCCCTGGGCAGGAAACATCCATCCGTGCAACAACACGCAGGCTGGCTCTGTCACCCAACAGCCTTGCGTACACGGCCTGCGCAACGATTACGGTGAGAAACCGCCATGTGCTCCCAAGGGAGTACACAGAACCCTAACAGTGAGAAAGGGAGCCATGACACACATGCATGGACAAGCCTGGAAGCTGGGCGGCCCTCGAGCTCCAGGCGCACCATGCAGGGCAGCGCGGCAGTGGCGCGGCCTCACCTTTAGAGCACACGAAGCACCAGCTCACATTGACGTGGCTGTGGTGCCGCTTTCCCTTCCGAGCAGTGAAGTGGGCCGTGCAGATGATGCTGTGGGAAGCGATCACCGTGCAGCCTGCTGCCAGACACGCGTCCCCTCCGTGGTAGGCCACTGGGCAGCGCACGCACCGCATCATTTTACCTGAGGGTAAGAAGCACACCCTGAAGACCAAGACACTGCCCCCTCCCACAGAAACCACACTGCCTCAGACACCGGGAAAGGTAATCACGGGACAGCCTCGAGGCATCTGACTGAAGTACCTCTCACCTACACAAAGGTATTTCAAAATGTCAGAGAAGACCCACCAGCACCCACGACATCATGCTTTACACTGTGGCCAACCAGCATGATCAGCCTGGACACGGGCGTGCAGTGCACGCACCGCTGACATCTGATGTTTCACAGCACCTCATCCTCTCCCTACCACATGGCAGCAGCACTACGCCAGACACGGGCGAAACCACCCCGGTGCAGAAGCCGTGGACCCGAGAGATACGCAGAACCTGCCCGCTCCAATCCCACACAGCTACCCTTAAGTCTCGGAGATGGACTCTGATCTCACAATGCTTCCCTTATTTGTGAAAGGCCCTAAAACCACAGCAAACAGGACTCATTAGAATGGTTTGCAGAGGGCCCCTCTCAGAACTAAGGACCCTAAAGATGCTCTCCCGGGTGGAGAGCAGAGTTTGGAGGAAAAGCCCTGACCCACCTTTGTTGAGTCAGCAGAGCAACAGGGGCCGCTCCAGAATGTCAGTTTGCCCCTGTAGTGACAAACTCAAAGGGCACCAAGCCACCCTCCTGGGAGCTGTCCCCGCACTGCCCACAGAGTCCATACCTTTTGAGGGCCGCGGGTTTGAAGGGTTGGAGGCGTGGCAGCTCACGCAGCTATGGAGGGGGCAGCGAAAGCCCCGGCTCTCAAACACAGTGAGAGGGTACTTTCTCACACAGGCTTCGTGGTAGAATTTGCCACACTGGGTCACAACGCAGCGCTTCACCTCCGCCTTGCTCTCCTTACACACGAAGCATGAGTGGATCCCTAATATGTGGTTAAAGATGAGGGGCCAGAGTGAGACCAAAGCTCTAGGCCCCAAAGAGAGCAGCTCTTTCCTGGAGGCAGCTAGCTCCATCCCCAGCCTTGGAGGGAGCCCGTGCCTTCTTCAGATCTGCTCAACCCTTGAAGGCCATCGTGTTGCCAGCTGGCAAGAACCAGAAGGGGACGCGCTCTGCACAAAGCCTCCCTCGGGCTGCTCACAGCCACAGGGCTGACCTGCTCTCGGGCTGCCTGGCAAGGGGCTCTCAGTGTGCTCCCAACCTTGAGACACTGCAGCAAGCAGAAGACTCCCCAGGCCCAACCCATGGTGGGGTGTGTGCGCGTGTACATGTCATGTGCCACCTGGGTTCACACCACAAACCTAGACGGCAATGACCCTGACTGCAGAGGCAGCAGGGCCCAACACTGAGCGCACGGGGTGAGCAGGGAGCCCTGAACTGCTGTAGAGCAACACTTAGTCCTGTCACCTGGTGGAGGGCAGAGCAAAGAGAGGAGCCTGCCAGGGAGCATCTCAGCAGGGCGGACTTGCCTGAGGCGCACTCGCTGCAGGTGAACCTCCCCTCCGGTCTCCTGGAAAGCCCGAGGCAGGCGAGATGGAAAGCTCCACAGCACGGGCCTTCGCATAGCAGGAGGCTGCCCGTCTTCTCGCACACCTGTGGGCACAGAGGGTGGTGTAAGCCCACGCCCTTCCCTTCACAAGGGAACTGTCTGGTGCTGCCTGCAGTGGCAGGAAATCCGTTCTGCTGCTCGCAGCACATGACCTCCTGTGCACAGGGAACCGCCAGGCCTCACAAAGCCAGAGATAGATGCAGCACCCAGGTTAGAGGCAGTCACTGCCACAGGACTGAGTTGGTCCTTCAACAGGGTGAGCAAACAGGGCCCAAACCTTGAAGCATGTGCTCTAGACACTTCAGGTCAGACATGGAGACCAGGGAAACCACAGCATACTCTCAGGAAAGGGCAGGCATCCCACAGCATGGCAGGGGCCACACTAATGACCAGCATACCTCCCCATGAGTCCACAGAGCCCCCAGCAGGGCAGGGGATGAGGCACACAGGTGAGTGGTCTGCGCCAGGTGGCCAAGCCAGTGTGTAGCGCAGGCAGGATGTGAACCCAGGCCCTGACTGCCAGGCACTGCTGTTTGCAGAGCAGCAGTCTAGTGACACTCTCCTGGCCTAGGCCTTGTCCACCCAGCAGGTGTCAGCATGGGAACCGCATGGACCAGGCTCCTCATACTGCAGGCTCCCCATGCACCTGGTCTACAGGGGAGGCGTCACATGTGAATCAGGGCTCTGCTGGCAGCTTGCCTTCAAAACAGACCCTGGAGCAGAAGGGGCCGGAGGGGTCTAGGGGACAGGGCGCTTGCTGGGAGCCTCACTCCACGTCTCCAGGGCCTGAGACAGATACCTCGTGGATAGGTCAGACACTGCCATCCCTCACCTGACACACATACTCCTTTTTGGCCGCCACTCCTCGTTCAGACTTTTTAGACGAGATGGACACTTCAGTCTGTGTTTCATCAGCACTTTCATAGGGGGATTCCGAGGGCTCGTCTCCTGGGCTGTCCGAGACCTGGGGAAGAAGGAGGCGGACGGCGGTTCACTCGTCACAGAAAGCAGTGGAGTCTGTGTCTGCAGAGATGGCCCACCTGGCCCCATCTCCCGGAGTGACCTGCCATGGACGCACAGCACCTGCTGGCTTTGTGTAATGCAACGTGCAACAGAGCTGTGCAGAGGTCAGAAACGGACTTTTCAGTCTACATACATACATATGAGGCAAAGCCTTAAAATGGAGACACTTAGGAAGTCCAGTCTGCTCTACCAGGTGAGCTAAGGTGGGCTCTGGGATTGAGAAGCTGCCCCTTCTTACCCACTCTGTTCAGGTCCAAACACCAAATGCATTTTAAAGAAACAGGTGAGGTGCCCAAGTGTAAGGCGTCGTGCCGGCTGACTCCTGTGCAGCAGAGACCAGACCCTCGGGAAGCATGTTGCTAACTGTGGTCCTGACTGGAGGGAAATCTGGACATCGTGCAGACCCACGCCCAACCAGCCTGCCTGACGTCTCCTCCGCCCACTGCTGTGCCACAAGAAGGGAAGGTCATGTGCCTGCACCGGGAGCACAGGGTCTGAGGAGAAGGCCAGGAGAGAGCCAGGACATGGAACAGCTGAGGGGCTTGGGGACCTCAGGATGGAGCTGAGGCCTCCCCTGGTGGAACGGTGTCTTTGCCCTCACTTGACAAGTAGCAATACACAATAGAATGAGTAAAGACAAAACCTTCCTATCTAAAAGTATTTGGTTCTTATTTTGACTCCAGGTAAGTAAGTGTTGAAAACTGAGTTTTGGAGATGGAACAGAAGTACAAAGGGCATTTCCCGTGCACCTCGTTAATCACGCCGTGCATAACGATGCTACAGCCTTGCTGTGCACCCACAGGCAGAACGCGAGACCGTGAAACTGGGCCATAGTAAAAAAATAAAAACAAACCCTACCAGGGAAGCTGACCGATTCAGTGGCCTTATTCATAAGCCTTTTCCAGATTTAGCACGCTGAAATTACAGGGAGCAGTGGAAGAAGAAAAAACAAAGCTGGAGTTCTCGCTAACTTGAACCTGATGTGGAAGTGGGCTGTTTCCCGAGGGCCGTGGAGTGATGAGCCACCGGGGACCACTGCTCTGGTCCCACTAGACACATCTGTGACAACCGTCTGTTGAAACAGTGGCCTTTTAAGCTCATTTTTTGCCTCTTGCAGGAAGATGCAAACAGCTTGAACCAATACTAGACTAGAGCAGTGTCACCTTCTAAGGCTGTCGCCAGGCGCTGATTAGCAGAACTGCAGGGCCCACTGCCCAACCCTCACCCGGCAGCTCACCTCCTGCTTCCTTAATGTCAATATCCAGAGAGGCAGCTTGAAAGGCTGCGTTCAAACCCCAAATTTATCAGATACAGTGCCACAGCCAGGGGTCTGAGCACTTCTGAAGTGAGACTGGAGTGGAAGGGAGGAGTCTGGGACATTAGGAAGCTGGAGACACATGGCCTGGCCAGGGCCCCGCTCAGAAAGCAATCCCTTAGCTACCCCACCTGCCTGACACAGGAAGCCAGGCCCAAAGAAGGGGCCTCATCAGGGCCGAGGGAAGAGAGCCCTGCACTCCATCCACCAACCCCATGCCTCCCTTCGTGTGGCTGGAACAAATTTAAAAGTTAAAGAGAGAGAGGACTGAAAGAGAGAGAGAGAGAGAGAGAGAGAAAGCATGGAGAGAAAGACAGAAAACACAAACCAGTCCTGGGTCAGAGGAAGGAACAGCACCTTTTATTTAAGATTTACAGAAAGTTAGCACGTTTCCACTTGGAGATATTTCCTAAATTAACAAAGTCTGTTTTGAGGAAATAAACATGGAATACATACTTTGAATGGAAATATAAATGTAACGACACACATGAGGCTTGTTTCCTGGTTGGGGTCTGAGATCCACATACAGAATACAGACCTTACAATATCACAGTCCATGACACAGTGCACAAGACCCCTCTCACCCCCGCAGCCCTCCCCACAAGCCAGCGACAGACACCTAGCCAGGTCCCAGGGCCCCTGGGTGCGGCTTGGCAACCCACCAGCACGGGCCAGGCACCTCCCTCGGGCCGTGGCTTCACCTGCATGCACATTGGGTTTGGGGACTCACTCGGAGATGCCACTGTGAGGTGACACGGCCCCTGTGCAGTCCCAGCGTTCCCAGGGCTCAGCCTGCAATATCTACATCCTGTTCCACATCCAACAGGGTGGGGGGGCAAGGAGAGTGTGGTGACAGAATGGACACAGACTCTGTCAACAGCTTTCCTGTCCCTTCCCACCCGCCGAGGCCACACTGGCGGCACAGATCTCCAAGCAGCTTAGTTCCTGACCTTTGCAAATTTCCTTAAGTCTGAAAATACTTTCTCAACTCTCTACTCAGCATGTGACAGTACCAAGCTACCTACGTGCCTTAAAAATACATTCCTTTGGGGGCAGGGACTCTCAAGATGCCATTACCAAACACAGTGTGACCCAGTGAGCACATTCCAACCAACTACAGCACAGTGCAGCTGTCAGGAGGGCCCAGGGTGCCACCAGGCCACCTGCGTGCCCCTCCACGTGCTCTGACACACAGCGAGTTTTTAATTTTTGACAAAACAAATCCTTTCACACAAGTTAAATACTACATCATTTTTGAAATACAATTACAGACCTTGAACAATAAATATTTCTGTAAACCAACATTCTTTGCATGTGTGAGTTATGCTTTTCAAAGGAAGAACTGGTTACTAGAAGTACTTGTCACAGAGTGTTTTAGATTTACAAATAAGAATCCTGTGCTCAGTAGATTTAATGAGTTTAAAATCAAAAGACTACTCTCAAACAGGTCTTCCAAGTTAACATCACAGTGAAATGTTGGAGTAGAATGAAAATAGTTTTAAAGTCAGTCACTCATCAGCTAAAATGCTAGAGTTTGAAACAACCTTTCTACAAACGATCCTTCCAAGCTGCACACCACGGAGCCCTCCTCACTGCCCTGCATACTGTGGTAGGTAGAGGGAGACCCTGAAGACGCAGAGCCGAGCCCACAGGGCGTCACAGCTCCACTCCCTCTTCTGCTCTCAGCCAGCCTGTGTGCAGTCAGGCCGCCTGTGGGGAGCAAAAACCAGGGCAGCTGTGGCCAGAGCTGGCCACATGGCTGCTGCATTCAGATCCCAGCCTGCACTTGCCAAAGGCAAAGCAAGTCTCCAGGCTGTTCCACCAACCCAACTGTGTTCCCGTCGCATCCTGGGCAGTGCCTCCCCTCTGGGAGTGGGCTGTGCCCATAGGCTGGAGATGGAGAGCTTGAAGACCACCACAGGGCCGGCTTCCACTTGTGCTGCTGACCCACGCCCTGTGGCCAGGCTATGCCAGGCCCCGCCCCCATCACTGCTCACAGACCGCTAGCATGCTTTGGAATACTGCCAAGGACTTACGTGCCCAAAGCCTGGCAACTACAAGCAGGCTAGAAAGACCACAAGTGTGGGGTCCAGCACAGGGTCAGACAGTGACACTGGCAGGTGACAGGGCAGGGCCTGTTGGCAAGGTGCCCTGGCTAGTACCAATGCCGGGGAGATTTACCACAGAGAGTGTGCCCCCGCTCCCTGGATGAAAAAGATGAACACACATCTTTTCTGTGCTAAGAAGAGTCCACTTCCCATTTCTAATGGCAAGTAAAGCAGTGACATTTCTAATATCCTAGGCAGAACAATGAAGACAGTACCTAAGGGGCCAAAACCCACTGCATTTACCAATGTCCTACAGCACATGGGCGAGTCAGTATGTTTCTTCAGAGGAGGAGGAGAAAAAACCGTAGGGTCAGGAGGAAGCAGCACGGGCCCTGAGTGGGCCTGGAAAGCCCTCTGATGTGACGGCGCTGCAGCTCCTCCAATTCAAGACTGCAATGTCAAGGACAAACAGCAGTCCTCAGCAGTTACTTTTTGTTCCTTCATTATCAAGACCTGAGGCAGCAAAACTACTGAGGGTAAGAGCATTCAGGGCCCCACACTGCACGCTGAGCGCACAGGGCTGCCCCCTGGTGGCCGCATAGAGGCCTGCCCAGTCGGGCCCCTGCAAAGTGCTGGCTGTGAGAAGCAGTCTGCTCAGGGTGGGTCACACCTGCCAAGTCCTAGCAGCCTTGTTTCTCATCTGCACTGTCAGACAGGCACCCCAGGTGCAGGATGCCCTCTGGACATCTCAGGCTCACCTGGCCCACCTCCTGCTCAGGGCACTCAGGGGCACGGAGCTCCCTGGCACAGACAGATCACCAGTCTCGCCTCACCAAGCCTTCCACCAGAGCACTGTAGCCCTTCCATCTTACACACACACGCGGACAACACTGTTTGCTTGGGGAACTATATGTCAACTTATAGCCTTAATTTTTCTCCTTTTCAGGGTGTTTCTGTGACAGACCCTTCATGGACTCCAGGCTCACCCACCATTGTCAGGCTACTCCCAGACTCGGTTCAAACACTGGGCTAGGAGACCATGAGAATGGCAAACCTGCCGCTGACGCTGAGGTCTCTGCTCCACTTCCCTGCCTTTCCTCTGCGTGCCCCACCATAAATGCAATGGTGCCCTCTCCATCCAGCTGCCAACACCGCACAGCCCCGGGCGAAGCCTCATGTGCTTCTGCATGAACTAGTCAGACACCCCTAAGGCTACACTCTAGGAAGCCTTCCCCTTTCCTCCCGTGTCACAGCACACTGTCCCTCAAAGGAAAGGGACAGGACTCCCTCCTGTGTGGCACAGGCCCCTGCCCTAGGTCCTATAACCTCTGCTTCCTTGTTGTGGAACTTTGCTTAGGTTTCTTGTTGGTTTTTTTAGAAACATCCTCTTAAGAACACTGGAGTTACACTTTTCAGTTGGGAAATATAGATAAAGTGAGTTCTGAGGAGAGTCCTGAGAGACCACCACACCCCTCGAGGCCTCATACCTGCAGGAGGACACTGAGCCTTGCATCAGCTCTAAAGAAAGGCCCATCAGGAGGTGGAAGTCTGGAAGGATCTCAAGGATCCCATGGCCCGCAGCTCTCAGGCCTCTATCCCAACACACATCCCTGAGCGCTGCTCAGGGACAGTGGAGGACTTGCGCTTTTAGAACAGCTACAGCCAACACAGTCATACATTCAGACAAGTTTTTACTCCTCTCAAATGCCTCAAGCTTATACAAGATAGCTACGTCCCTTGCCAGGCAAACAAAGCACATGAATGATCGTCTGAAGCAAGTCAAATAGGGTCATTAAAGTGATTTACATATGACACAAGCAAAACTCGTCTCAAAAGGGACAGTTCAAAATCTCAAGGCTAAACATGTCTTGTTGTGACACTGATTTTTTAGGAAATGAAGGAATTCCATGCTAAATTCATAATGTAATGAACATTTGTACTGCTGGCAGAGAAGCTACTGTTCCTTCCTAAGGCCTTCGGAGCAACGACCCCTGTCCACTCTGCTCTTCAGAGGCCAAGGAAGAGCTGACCCTCCAGGAACTTAGCTCCTCTGCAACAGTACCATGACTGGCCTTTGGAGCAGGACAACTGTGCCACCTGTGCAACTGTCCCCATCACTGAAGACCACTGAGTACCCCTGGCCACCTTTCAATATCCTCAGAGGGACAAGGTCTCCCCGGGCAGAGGAATACCGCACGTGCCCAGCCTCACCATCTCACTACCCCTCCACTTCAGATGACGCTGACCACGCTGCGCTGTGGGCAGCACTAGTCATCTGAGTCCTGGCCTCCTCTTCACAGAGGACAGCGCTGCCTCCTCCTGTGTCTGCACATGCCGGCCGCTGCCGCCCCAAACACAGCACATCCCAATGAAACCCCTCAATTCTGGGCCAGAGACTTTCAAGCGAGCATCTTTACTTCAGGAGATCGTTTACTGAACCAAGGCCATTTTCATATCACCTCTTTGTCATATTTTTAAATTTAGCAATCATTCTGGAGAATTTTAAATTTACCTGAGTTCTCTCATCCCTTTGAGGAATAGTACAATCTAGACCACTCCTAGGCCATGGAGGGTCACATCTCCCACTACATCTGAGCAGGGCCATGGGGCACCTGCCAGCCCACAGCCACAGTGTCCGGCTCAGGACCGTGTCACAAAAACCAACCCAGGGTGCCGCCACTGCTGGGTTTACTTCATCTCCACATGCGTGATGCAGTCAAGGTCACGTCTCATGCCAAAGTAAAAGTTATACTTTTGGATAAAAATGAAATGATGGCAATTTTATTTTTTTATTGTTATAACCATAACTTTCACAACAGCGAACCACTGAGTCCTCACAAGGCGCCAGGCACCCTAAGTGTTTACATGCGTTACATTGCTTAATGGTTTGGAACAGAAGGGTTAGTCAGAACTTTCATCACAGGTCGGACACATCGGTGTCTGCTGGCAATGGCCCTTGAGCAGCACTGAGGCAAGCGGAGCCTTTCTTCCCGTGCACTCAGGCAGACCGCGGGCTCGAGCCCCGGCTGGCACCCGAGACCACGACAGCACAGGGTGCTGACGCTCTACGAAAGCAAGTGATGAAGTGGCTGGCGTAAATAACCTGGTCATGGTGTCCCCTAGATATCAGTCACTGGGTTGAGAGTTGAATGGTTCACAATGATACTGGAAACAGCATATTTTCCTAAAAATTTACTGTGTCTAGTGTTATAGTAAAACTGTTTAGTAAAAAAGGACAGAATCAAAACTCTTCTTGCCTTTTATGTTGGAAATTAGTTTAATATCTACAGTATTGAATACATTTCATTGGCAATGAGAATAGTTGATAAGGGCCCCTTAATGTGTGCTGTTTGTTGTTTGTTTCTGAAGGAACAGATGCTGACATTTCTCCATAAAAATTCGGTAAGTTATGAACTAGAGGGAAAAATGACCTCTATAACAGCATGGCCCCTTCAGTGGGTGCCCGTCTCAGTGCTAGGACAGCCCCCATCGAACAGCCTCCTTCTCAACTTGAAATCTACATTAATCACTGGAATATGAATGTGTTTCTATCATGAGATGAATGTGATTGATTAAATGGCCTTGATTAGGTATCTTACCTTGGTCTTAAAATTTGTTATCTGTTTTCTTCATTGTATGTGTTTATTAATACCAGTAAAAACAGATTATCACACATCTTCCATAAAATGATTGTGATAGAAATGTCACTTAGTGTGTACGATGATGCGCCACCTGCCGCAGACATCTTGGGACATTACGTCACTCTAAGTGCAGTACAGGGCAGCTGGGTTCAAGTCCAACTTGACTGATGTGGGCTCCCATAAAAGCTGTTACCAGTGAAGGCAAAAAAATAAGAATTTGCTCTACTAAAGGAATAAGAAATGAAGTTACAAACACTTAAATCACATTAATTCCTTCACAGGCCTTTTGTCATGCAAGTGTGTAAGTTTAATCTAGTCTCTTGGTTAGGGTGACGTAGTACCATGTAATCAACTATTCCAATATAAATTTATTTACCATATATACATTTTTCAAGAATTTAAACCACAACATGACCTAAAATGTCTTGACATACCAGCCCTATGAAAACTCCTATTTTTCTCAATCAAGTGTAATGAAAGGGAAGACATAAAAACATGCATAAGCTAAGTGAGTCAAATGAGGAGGTCAGTCCGCTCCCCGGACAGCCGTCGTCACATATGAGCTGGCCCACAGGCTCCAGGTGGCACAGACCTCCGCACTCTGCCCACATGCTGCAGGCATGGCACTGCCACCCTGTGCTCCTGCAGGTCTGGTACACATTAGGCAAGTCTACCTGTTCACCTACGGTGTTTGATTAACAGGAGAATTCTATAAAAAGGAACTCCAGAGATTTATATAAGCCACACAAAAGCAGCCAAATGGAGAAGACCTAGTAATTTAAAAGATTTTACACAAGGAACATGCACACTGAAGGATCTGTGTACCACCTTTACAATGTAGCATGGTGTAAGGATCTGCACCCACAGTGCAAATGCAGTCAGTCATCTACCAACCTCTGCAGCTCTCGACAGCCACAGACCAAGTCTGTCTAATGATTACAGGACACTCTAAGTCCTCCCAAGTTCCCAGCTGAGAGTGGGCACACTCAGCCAACCCAGCTATCATCACCTCCTCCCTCACTGTGCTGGCCTTTCCTATACAACCCTGACCACTGGGGACAACAAACAGGACCCCAGCAGCCTCAGTATTTTCCTTCTCTGGTGTCTCAGCAAATTTCAACCAGTGAAGGGACCACACATGATGCAAAGAAAGCATCACTGCAACGGGTATAAACATGAACACCAACCTAAGTAAAAAGGCCTACAGAACTAAAACTTATTCGTAATATTCTTATTTAGAATTGTAGACAACTTCTCATTTAATCTTTAGAATACTAACCTAATTTGAACAAAAAAGAAAGGGAAAATTGTATAAAATTTGTCTTTTCATATTTCAGTAAGCTCCTGCATAAGAGCTCAGGCAAGAATTGCATGTGTCCAAATGTAAGAAACGCTGTCATCTACACACAGCGAACTGCACGTCCACCCCAGGCTCTCATGTGTGACACTTCTGACCAAGACTGGGCTGGTCTGAGTTGCCAAGGAAATCCTGAGAGAGAAGCAGTCTAGACTGACACAGCTGCTGTGGTTCAGAGTGGGGACAGGAAAGCTCTCAGGGTGCCCCATCAGGCTGACCAGGTCTCTGACCCTCACTCACTGGCAGGCCCAGCCCCAAAGGGAGGAAACAGCAAAGGCATCCTCACCAGGGACCCTACTAGGGTCCCTGGCAGAAGCCAGGCCAGAAACGCTGCCTCCACCCAGAGGAGGAAGGGGCCTGTCCCTTTAGGATTTTTAAACGTTATAAAACAATCTCACTATCAGGCTCCAATAAAGACCAAGGTCATCACCACCTCACAAATATCATAAAAACAGGACTTGCATCCACAAGGGAAAAAAACAAAACCACAAGAGCCAAAACAACAAGGAATTTAAACTGGAAGTAAGCTCTAGGAAGGTGGCCACTAAAATCACAATACCAAACTACCTCTGGACAAGAAGTGCCACTCCTGTCTTTGGCAGCTGACTGCTGATTTGGCAATGCTAGCTAGACATCATGCTACCACCATGGCAGCAACAGCCTCAAGAGAGCCACTGCTCTGCTACTCTGGACTCTGCACGTCCAGAAAACAGGAGTGATGGTCCAGTGGAGGCTCAGAGGTGCCTCCACATTCCAATGCCAGGAGACACTAGAACTCAAAGGACCAAAGGCACAGAGTGCCTGGGGACCGAGAAAGCTCTGGCTTCCCTCACACAGCTGTGAGCCCCACTTCCCGCCAGGTTTAGGGTGCACAGTGAGCAGCGTCAGCCCGGCCATCGTGGCCGCTCTGAGAACCAGAGTGGACTTCCTTTCATGTGAGAGACCAGAGTGTGAGGGGGTTCCAGAACACACTACAGCAAAATGCACTGCAAGAACAATTAAACTGCATCCAGAGTGAAGGCTGTATGTACATTTACATATACGGTATGTGTGTTTATGTTCAAAGTACTCAGACTAACATGGTGCACATTTTCCATTTTGTGAATTTTAGACAGTAAAGACCTAAACTCACCTCCACCTAGAGAGGACACCAATGTTATGCTAAGTCTGAACTTCACTCACACTGCAACTTGAGTCATTAATGGCCCTCGTTGGAACACCATAGAAGCATTAGCATGATTTTACCTCATTCTCAGTTAACGATGCAGAAGGAGATGAACTTTTGCTAAACCCAAGAGTGGAAGACGCTGCTGCAGAAGCCCGATTTCGCTTCTTCAACGGTTTGCACGCATCAGACAGATTTTTCGTCACTGTAAAATAATTTTGTTTTATAAAGTTTAAAATCCTAAACCCTCACCTGTTGGGTTTTGGGGTTTTTTTTGCGGGGGTGGTATCTTTTTGAGACAGGGTCTCGCTGTGCAGTTCAGGCTGGCCTTGAGCTCACTTTGTAGCCCAGGCTGGTCTTGAACTCGCAACCATCCTCCTGCCTCAGCCTCCCGAGTGCTGGGATTACAGGCATGTGCCACCACAGCCAGCTTGTTGGGTTTTTTTTAAAACCTCACCTCTTTACTGCTTTAAAATTATCCCTCAGATCAATCTCCTGGGTTCTGAATGTAAATGAAAGCAAGCAGACTGCACAGTGAGAGCCTTGCTCCCTCAGCTGGCCCCCAAACCACCAGCCCAGGGCCAATGCAGACCCCATGTCTGCTTCCACTGCCCCACCCTCCCACCTGGTTATTGAGAACCAAACACCACATAACATTTTACCCAGAAAAAATTCAGTGTGTACCTCTAAGACAAAGTTCTAAATTAACAACGAGACTATTATACTTTAAAATAACAATCCCTTTGTACCATCAAGTATCCAGTCAACTTTCACATTTCCTACTGTTTGCAAATATTTTCTTTAAAAATCGATCTGTTTAACTGATTTCTAAAAACCAGCGTAGCACTTCACCCAGTGCAAGGAAAACAGAGCCTTGCCAGACTTCACGCCAGCCCCTCCTCCAGAGGTTTTCCTTCTAAAAGAGAGTGGGAGGGGGTCAGCCTTCTCTGACGAACTATCCAGGTATTTCAACAAGATAATTAATCTAAAGTACAGGGGGCCTGACTGCCCCTTTACTGTTTTGACAGTTATTTTCCATAAACATTTTAAGCTAATTTCTTTAAGTAATGAGTTGAAACACTAGTCATGACTTTTACTTTTAGCCAATACACATCCAGATAGAGCAGAGCAATTTACAGCAACAACAGCTGTCATCAGTAAGAAACCTAAGTTTCTGGTTTAAATCACTTTTCTAGTAAAATTTCAAATTAAAAACAGTAAGGTTTTAAGAGTCAACAGAAAAGCAACTTCAGTTAAATTTGAACCTTAAACAATGCATATGCTACCTTTGTTTTTGCTTGCAGGAGCCCCCATTCCTGGCGTGGGCTCCAGGCTCCCGGCTGAGGTCTGGGCTGCCCTGCACCCTGCTGCCAGCCCTGTACCCTCTACCCCCCTTCAGCTGTCCCAGTGGAGGCCCCAAGGGCAGGGCCCTCCAGCATGGGCACCCCAGGAGCCTCACCACATTACCTGCCTGGCTCTTGAGTGAGGAGGCCACCTCCATGGCCTTGTAGGAGCTGGTCCTGGCCACCTTGTCAGTGTTCATCTCTCTCTGTCATTTAAAAAAAGGAGAAAACAGAAAAAACAAAGGGGAAAAAATCTAATGTGAATGGACATAGGCTGGTGAAAACGTGTACAGCAGGTGCTTTCCTTGGGATGCGTGCTCCACACACCACGTCCACACCCTGGGCTGAGCTGCACCCCCACTCCAGCAGCATCCGACAGCAAGGTGCCTCAGCCCTTCATGTGTAGGACTTCTGTCTGCCCCAGAGCAGACCACAAAGCACAGGACACCTGGCCTTCTATGCCGGGGCCCCATCAGGGTAAAATCACCCTGCAAAGTCAGTGCCAACTCTCAGTCTCACTTGCTGCTCTGAGGACTCCCAATTCTCAGACAAATTCCAGAGCTACTTGTGAAGGTCAACAATAAAATACATTTCACAACTGAGAGTGGCCAAAACAAAACCAAACAAAAAGGAAAGAACTGTGAACACCTGAGTGCTGATACTTTGAATAATGGAGTTGAAAAGGCCCTGTCTCAAAAGCACAGGGACAGTACTGCCCAGTGGTCACAAACCACCCCCGGAGGCAGGGTCACTGCACCCACACTCCACCTCACCCACCAGCCTGGAGCAGGGTGCTTGTGCAGGAGGGGTGGGGACTGTGCCCAGCACCTGGGATGGACGCGCGCTCCACCAGGAATCCCATGCAATAGGACTCAAAGCCCCAGAAGGCCAGACCAGCGGGACAGCCTCACGGCTTCCATCACGGCGAACCCCTGAGCTACGGGTTAATAAAAACCATTTCCACCTAGCTACTTAATGTGAACTTGTTTATTTCAAATGCCTGGGGTCACACATTTTTTTGGTATATCATTTACATAAATGTGTCAAAGCAACCAATTCCAGTGGGATTGCCAGTAAAGGGCTGCTTTAATAGCTGGTGACCACAGAAACAAGAAGCACGGAGCTTCTGGTAACTAAACGTGAGAGACTCAGAGTGACTTTTACCTCACTTAATGTTAGGCCTTGGTCACTAGACAGCCCCATCTGAGGGCAGGTGCCCTGGAGAACACTTGGGGGGCCAGGAGAGGAGCAAAGCCTGCCTGCTCTTCTCAACTGCAAATACAGCTTTAAAGAATTTAGACGGATGGTGTGGTGCACACAGCTGCACTCCACCAACATGTGATACTTATTTTCCGTTCTTCAAAACAAAAGGAAAAAAAAAAGGCAGCTTTATTTCCATTCGTAAAGGATAGTAGCAAGCTTTACTCAAAACCGTAAATATGCAGCTACTCTGAGTGAACTTGAGTGAAGTATCACTGCATAGATATAAACTCAAATTCAGATATAAAGTATAAAGCCTAGAGCCAGGAATTAGCTGGACACTTGTTCAGCACCCTCAGGTCCGGGGTTCCATCCCCATCACCACCCCAAAAAGGAAAAAGAAAAACTAAAAAGCCTATTTAAACTCCCATTTATGACAAGTGAACTGGACACCAAGACACAGCACTCACAAGGGGCTTGGTCTGTGGCATGACCAAGCCCCACATCAGCCAGAATCACTCTTCTCTGCAGGCTTGCACCTGGCTCGGCTTCACGCCCAAGCTACGAGGCACACTCTGTGCCCTGACGGGGCTGGACACCGCAGGGGAGCTGGGCTGCCTGTCCGTCTCTGGCACCCTCTTGCTGTGCAGCAGGGCTGCCAAACTGCTGAGGTTCCCAGCCAGCTAACAACACCACTGAGTTACTAACCACGTGAACCCTTGTAAGTACCTCTATGACGGAGTCTTTAACTCGTTATTGCAGTATGATATATCTCTAGTGGACTGCCCTGTCAACTAATTATGTATTCTCACAATGCATGGTAACAGTAATGTTTTTCTGCCCACTGAATCCAGGGCCCCACGCATGTCAAGCAAGGGCTCAACCACTGAGCTACACCCCAGCCCAAGAGCCATTTCTAACGCACAATTTTATCCAATCTAAAAGTCATAAAGTACTCAGAATAGATGCCACTTTCTCAGCTAGTGAAGCACTGGCAGTTTCTGAAGGTATACACACAGTCTTACTTTTGAGTGCCTCCCTGTGCAGAGACTAGAGTACGCTGCCTGCTCCTAACCACACCCTGAGAACCACACCCTGAGAACCACACCACACACGTTCTCCAGGGCCCGGCTCACCGGAACGTAATTACCTTCCGAAGACTGTGCTTGTCAGTCCTGAGTCTCTTTCTGGGTGCATCCTCAACATCAACATCTTCTGGAGGGTCTTCTGTCCTCTTTGTATGATTTCTTTTTTTCCCATTTACATTACCTTGGAATAGGGTTGGGAGAAACACACATGAAAACCACTTCACATGCCGTCGTGAAAGCACTGAGACCTCAGCCAGGGTACTCAGCTGCACACTGACTCCAGCAGGTTTCCACAGCCATGCAGACCCGGGCCAGCATTTTACACCACAAAAACTGGGGGCTGAAAAGACTTCACTAGAAATTACACCAACATTTGCTACAATTTCAATGTAGTACAGCATTCACTTTAAATATAACCCAGTGGGGCTGGGGATTTAGCTCAGCGGCAAAAGCGCCTGCCTGGCAGGCGCAAGGTCGTGAGTTCGGTTCCCGGTACCGGAGAAAAACCAAAAAAAAAAAATAATAATAAAATAAATAAATAAATATAACCCAGTATTTTAAAATGTCTTTTACTAAGATTTAAAGACTGATGGAAGGCCAGACATGGTGGTGCACGTCTGTAACCCCAGCACTGGGGAGGCTGAGACGGGATCGCTGTGAGTTCAAGATCAGCCTGGGTTTCAAAGTGAGCTATAGGCCAGCCTAAACTGCATAGCAAGACCCTGTCTTTAAAAAAAAAAAAAAAAAAATACTGATAGAATTGAGGTGAATATAAAAATAAAGTACAATTTGCTACTATTCATACATTCCCTTAAAGAACCATTTTAAATAGCAAGACCACATCCCTATCTGCAAACTATAGGCTTATCCACAGGTCGGCTTCACTGCGCCACACCCTGGATCCCTAGGAAGACCCCTCACATGACAAGGTATCCAAACAGAACCATCCTAGGGAGACAAGCTGTACACTGGAGAAAGAGGGCTGCTTTGAATATGCCAACGTGTATTTAAGTACGGATCCAGAATTTTCATTTGTACGAGTCCTTTTCGGAGGTTCAGGGTTTCTTATTCACAGACTCTCCATCAAATTCCTATGGAAGGACACTGTCATCCTCAAGCTCACTGCCTGCGGGGATACAACACACCAGCACAGGTGTGCTCAGCCTGTGCGTCCAGCAGCCACCCCTGGGTCTCACTGCTGGAGAAGTCTGGCCATCAGCCCCACCAGGCTCCGCTCCTAGTCACCCGCTGCAAGCAGCTTGGAAGGTCATGTCAGGAAAAGGCCTGCAGAACAGAGGACAGCAGGGTCTGCTCAGTACTGCCTGAGCTCCAAGCATGAGGCACAGCCAGCCTCACTGGCAAACCCTCTTTGTCCATGTGTGCTCAGTGGCCCTGCCTACAGCACAACAGGCACCAGACAGCTGCACTGTTACTCTGCCACCAGGCTTCCCATGGTGAGGTGAGTTCCTGGTCCCTTCCCCAGGCACCCCTGATCACTTCCCCTGGACCTCCAGAGAGGCTGCAGCCCAACCTTACAGAAGAACCATGGGCTTCTGTTGGAAATCCTGCACAGTCTGTGGGATCGACAGGTGACACACAGAGATGGCACAACGGGACTGGACAGCAACTGGTCTTGCCTGGACATCAGGGCTCGAGGGCACCCAAGAACAGCATGCACCTGACCCCTGTAGCGGGGACTCAGCGTCCCTCCACCGTCTACTGAGTGCTGAGGGACAGTCCAACAGCAAAGTGCGACACACACAGATCCATCCACATTTGCTCAAGAGTAAGCTGACTCGGGCTGTGGGAAGCCTCCCTTCTTTTTAAACCAGCTACTTTGGAAAGGAAGTACTTCTCTAGAAGAAGTGTACAGATGATGCAGGGTGAGGTATGTCTGTCCCCTGAAGAAAATCCTCAAATTCTAAATACCCTTAACACTCTATAACATCTGCAGGGAACACTGAGCAAACTGAACAAAATTCAAGGTGAATGTAATTGCAGCTGTGGTGACCCAGGAAGCCCAGTGAAGATAAATGTATGTGAGGCACAGAGGCACTACAGTGCATAGGGGGCCACAGCCCAGCACACAGTGCAGCTCCCAGAGGCAGCTGGGGACCTGGCCTCTGTTAGGCGGGTCTGCAAACACTGAGCGTTTGGCCTCTCTAGGACCCCTCAGGGATGAACTTGAGAGATGCAGGTGTTCTTGTGTAGTAATTAACACGCCAAAAGCTCACATTTATTTTCTTAACGCAAGGTCAGTTTCCACTCATGTGCCAAAGCACATACAGGTCATACACCATCTTCTCCATATCTTACTGTTTGAGTCTCCCTCACTTTTGCCTAAAAGTAAAGCAGTACTTTTTATTTTTTAAAATTGATGGCCCAGGAATAATCAAAGGTTACCCGAGTTTAAGGTCAATCTGGTCACCTCCTCACCTGCAGGCTCCCAGGAAAACAGGCCAGGATGTCCACTTCAGGCCCAGAGCCCAGTCACGCAGATAAGTCCAGCAAGAGGCAGGGCCACAGGCTGTGGGCTACCCCAACGTGGCCAAGCCTGGAGGCTTAGAAACTGCCTGGCTCTGGCTGCCTTCCTTCTGCCTACCCTCTCCCTCACAACCCTCTTGGCTACAGTGGTCATTAGGCCTGCCCTATGTGAACGAAGACCAAAGGACCCACAGACCAGACAGAGGACTGGACACTGCAGCTTGGTGAAGAGGGAGCAGCGGCAATGGCAGGGCTTGTCCTGTGGGGACCACATGCGCTCTGGCTGCTGGCCACGGACCATGCTTCCAACGCCCCCATGTAGAGTGCAGCTCACTCCCATCCACACAGCACACCTGAGCACAGGACACAGCACAGCTGTATGCATACCAGGATCTTCTTCAGATGGGACCGAGGTCACAAGGGCAAACTTGGTGTTATAGCGAGCTTTCTGTTTTTCATTGAGCATGTTCCACTGGGATCCCAGCAATTCTTCAATCTCCTCGCCGGACGCATCTGGGTGCTCAGCAATGACCTGAGAACATAGTTCAGGGAACAGTAAGAGCCTGAACACATACAGCTCATTCGTGCACTGCACAAAATCAAGTGCATATGCACTGAGAGCTTAGTGTTCGTCATTTTTACTGTTCTATTGTGGAGCCATGTCCCCAGAAAAGCTTCCAATAGAAACAGCTCTTTACTGATGCTGTGATTTAGTGAAAACTGAAGTGCAAATACCAGTAAATGTAAGAAAAAACCTGTGCTTTTTCAAAATCACTTGAATTATCGTAAGTCATAGTTTTCTAGGCATCCTTGAAAACTCAGCCTACAGTGAGCCCCACAGAAGTGCTACCTGTGAGCACAGACCGAGGACTTGGCCTCCCCGTGCCCACCTCACCCTGAGCCCTGGACAAGTGCTAAGGGTGGTTTACCAACACGCGCTCTGCACTGCCAAGGTGGGCTCTCCAGCCACTCAGCATCAGCACCCAAGGAGGGCACTAGAAACGTGGGCTCCGCCTCCTCTTACCAGCAATCTGCATTTTCACAAGGCATCCAGCCGGGCCATGTCCACCATGACATCCAGTAAGTGGGTCTCAACTTAGGCAACAGACAGCAATAATCTAGAGAGTTTAAAACCTGTGGTGGTAGGGTCTGCCCAAGACTGGTGGCCTAACATTTGCATTCCAAAGGCTTCCCACGGGCTTCTAACACATCCTAGATGTGTTCACTTTGACAGCACATACACTATCGTGCCCTTGAGCTGGAGAGGCACTGACAGAGGGCCACTGCACAAGGGCCTGCGTGATACCACCTGGGCCCACTGTGACACATCTCATTTTAGGGTGACTCAAGAGTTAAGAATTATTTTTGTGCTTTTGAAACACTAAAGGGGCTTGGGATCTAGCTCAGCGGCACAGCGCCTGCCTGGCAAGCGCAACATCGTGAGTTTGATTCCCAGTACCAGAAAAAAACAAAACAAAAACAAAAAACAAACACTAAAACAAGAATATTTTATCACATGGAAAAATAATAAATTGAAGCTCAGGGCCATAACCAAGATTTCACAGAATTCACCATAAGCTCACGCTGCTGTCCTGCCCGTGGCTGTTCACACTCTGATGTCAGGGCAGAGCCACACTGCCTACAGGGCCCTCGAGGAGCACTAACCAGGGTGCTCTTGGAACCGCACTGATTCCCGTGCTGGCTCTTCCCCTTAAGAGTTTTGAGAACTTGACCAGGTGAAGGTGCGGTCTCCACCCCATCTTGTGAAACGCGGGGAGTGGTCAGAAATCAGTGGGTTGATCACGGCAGTTAGCACCACGGCCTGGACCTCACACCTGTCCAGCCAACACAGGTAACGTTCTTTATCCAGAGCCCTTGCTGTGAACGCCTTCTCACAGTATCTGCCCTCCTGCCACCTGGTTGGTCACATGATCACTCTCTGCCCTGGTGCCCGTGTGGACACCGACACCCCCACCCCACCCACTTCTCCAGATGAAAGTGAGAGGCAGCCTGCAGGCCCTCCCTACCTTCCTGCCCGTGACCTCCCAGCTTCTGTGGCTTCAAGTGGAGTGTGACCCAACACGCCCCCGCCCGTCTCCTCAGGATCCCAATGCTACCATACCCTGTCCTGCCGTTCCCAGCCCCACACCCCAACCACGGCCACCCAGCTCTGTGTCCCTCACCTGCGGCTTCAGCCCACCCAACTTCTCAGGGCTCTTCTTCCAGCTTCAGCCTCACAGGGCTCGCTCATCTGTTGACCTGTGTTTCCTTGGGTCCTCAACCTCTGCCACTGGAATCCCCCTCCTCCCCTGCCCCAGTGCCCTTGATTGGAATGAACATGAACAGATATCCCCAGTCTCTTCACAGGCACCCTTGCTCAGTGCTCCTGCCTCCTGCTGAGCAGGCTGGCCTCACTCCTGAAGAACTTCAGATCAGAGTTTCAGTAACCACTTTCCTGGTTCTTAATCCTGTCCACCACCTCCTGACACTCGCAACTCAAACAGCCTCCTCCCAGAACCAGCCACTGCAGCCCACCCTTCCTGCAGTGACCTCTCCCAGACCGCCAGTCCCAACTACACCTTCCACAGTCTTGCATAACCAGCACTGATTTTCTCCCGCTTCTGCCTCTCACATAACTGCTCTGTCTGAGCTAGAGGGTCAGGCTCTGGCTGGCTGTGGCAGCCACTCCGCATGACCCACGCTTGCTTAGCTCACATGCTGCTTAGGGGTGCGCGGCGAGCAAAGAGCAGCACCACCCGCACCAGCTGCTTGCAGTCCATCCATGTCTCATCTCTCACCTATGTGCTTCGGGGATGGCAGGAAAAGGGTCTTCCGGTCACTTAGGTTGGTAACGCCGTGACCACATGTGCCAGTCTGCATAATAAAGCAGTATCCAGGTGTCCTCTGACCTATAATCTTTCTACCTGAGGATGGTATGAAAGTAATGTGCACTCAGTAGAAACTATACTTCCAGTTTTGAATTCTGATCGCTTCAGGGTCCTCTCAGGCTGTGCTGGGCAGCACAGCACACATAGCTACAGGGGGCTCCACAGCCTGGAGGGGAACCTGACCCTCAGAAGCTGCTATGAGACTGACCTGTGGCCTTCGGCAAGGTGGAAGGATTCATGCATTTTCCACTTATAGTCTTTTCAGTTTACAGTGGGTTCACCAAGACACAACCCATGATACCCTGAGGAGCACACGTATGTAGTATGATGCTAACATATACATGTGCCACAATCAGGGCCTGCTTCCTGCTATATCAGTTCACTAGTGCAGGAGGGTGACTTTAAACTTATGAGCTCAGCAGAACCAGCTATAAACAGGTATAAATCGGGCTGGGGATTTAGCTCAGCGGCAAAGCGCCTGCCTGGCAAGCGCAAGGTCGTGAGTTCGGTTCCTGGTACCAGAGAAAAACCAAAAAACCAAAAAAACAAACAAACAAAAAAAAAACAGGTATAAATCATTTACACCCACCTGAAAAGGCCATTATAGCTTTCAGGCAGAATTTTGCACAATAACACCCTGGCAAGATACCTAACACACAGTAACCACACAACTGTGGCTACTCCTTAATGTCCAGTAAACTATTTCAGGCAAACCAAAAAAATATGGCAAACAACAATGATCCACAGGCCCACTCAGAGCTCACTGAAGTTTTACCATCAAAGACTGCCAGACCTCCTAGAGTGCCCTCCACAGCCTGCACACCTACTTGAGAGTTTCCTTTTGCCTCTGCTTTTAGACTTCCGAGGAGGACGCTGCCATGGCCAGTAGCCACCCTCTAGAACAGGCCCGTGAGCCACCTCCTGATACTCATGCCCCCCAACTGATTAGGCCTGGATTTGTACTTGGCGTCAGAGTGAAGATGGTGGTGTATGATTTCCAGGTCCAGGGTATAAGAGCTATCACCGGGCCCTTTCTCAGATCCCCTGCTCTGGAAGAAGCCAGGCCTCTCATCCCTGGGGAGGGCCATGTGATGAGGAAGCAGGGCCTCCTGCCAACACCTAATTGAGGACCTGGAAGCAGGCCCTCGGGCCCCAGCCAGCCTCAGAGGATGCAGCCCCAGCTGGCATCTAACTGCACCCTCGGGAGACACTGCGGCCTCATTGCCCCGCCGAGCTTTTCCAAGCTTTTTCTCACCCACAGATCCAAGATGGTAAGTATTGCTGCTGCTGCTCCAAGCCACTATGTCTATAGGTAACTGGCTATGCACAACCAGTAACTAACAAAGGCACATACAAAGAACTTGAGATAAAACATTCGCTCAACTCTAATGAAGTTTTTGTTTTCAACAGAAGATTAGGACTGGAGAAGGTGGAAAAGACTTCACAATTTGGAAACTCAAGCCAAAATCTGCTAATGAAACTGCAACTGCTGCTAACACTGTCTAGCCCAGTGATGGTGAACCTTTTCGAGCTTTTAATGATAAACATTTGGCTGTGGCTGTGTCCCACAGGTTTCCCACCACTGACCTAGGCTTTTGTTTGTGTGCGCACACACCTTACTCAGGATTGAATCCAAGCTGTTGCACTGAGCTGTATCCCCAGCCCTTTCTGAGACAGGTCCCAGTAAGGCAGAGTTACCCAGGCTGGGCTCAAACTTGCAGTCCTCCTCTCTCAGCTGCCCGGAGCACTGGGATTACAGGCCTTTGCCACTGCAGCTGCTGCCTCAGGCTTTCTAGTGAACAAAGACTCACAGGGAAAAACTGAAGGAGACAGCCCACATCCACCCATCTAAAGATCCACTGCAAGAAGTTCCAGACTCTTCCTCCTCACGAGAAGGGAGCTGGAGAGGGATCTCTAACGGGACACCACTCTTGCATTCCTGAGATGAGCCCTATAGATTCCTGTCTCATGATTTCTTGTAACACCTACAACCATTCGGCTGCACGTCTCTGTCAAAAGCCTGGTGGTCCCGCACTGAGCCACATCACCTGCCACAAAACAGGTGCTGGCCAAACCTCCAGGGACAATGTTTTGAAAACAGGTGCTATTTGTTACTGGTACCTTAATCACCCTGTGGAGTTGGAAAGCCCCTAAATAGAAATTTTCCAAGAAAGTGAAAATAAATACTATAATAAAAAGTCTTGGTGCTGGGGATTTAGCTCAGTGGCACAGTGCCTGCCTGGCAAGTGCAAGGTCGTGAATTCGATTCCTGGTACCGGGGGAAAAAAAAAAAAAAAAAGTCTTTTGTGCTACACTATAACCCAATCACTTCAAGTAAAAGTGAACTGAAGAGGTGGCTTGGTTCCTTACAGTAGAACTGAGCCTTTACTATGCCAAACAGATCATGTATTTTATTAAAACAGTAAAATTACTTAAATGTTTAAATGCTTTAATGCTGTGCACTGTGGGGCACACCTGTAATCCCAACACTCAGGGGGGTTGAGGCAGGAAGATGGCCCCAAATTTGAGGCCAGTCTAGGCTACACAGTGAGTTGAAGGCCAGCCTGAGCTGTATAGCAAGATGCTGTCTATATAAATAAATGCTCTAGGGGCTGCGGATTTAGCTCAGAGGCACAGCGCCTGCCTGGCAAGTGCAACCTCGTAAGTTCAATTCCCGGTACCGGAAAATAAGTAAATAAATAAATACATGCATGCACTAATCACTAATATATTATTGTTCTTTTATATCTCATGGAAGTAAATCTTCAAAGTTCTCAATGCTAGTGGATCCATAAGCTTATGAATGGGAATGACCCACATCGGACACTCCGAAAAGGCCCCCCAGAGCTGGATGTCAAGGGTGTAGAGCTCCAAGCAGAGCGGCGCAGAAGCACCAACCTGGGAGAAGCTGGGCAGCAAGCCAAACACAAGGTAAGTGTCTGCCCCCAAGGATCAAGTTGGCTGCTGCTCCCTAATAGCAGATGTAAGATCCCAATCTCAGTGAGGCTCACTGCTGAGAAGCAGATCTTCTGCACCAAAAGACTATTCCTCCAGTTTAGAAGCTGTGTCAGGAAACACTTCAGCGACCACCAGAATACTGACCTCATCCCGGTGCTTTTGACAGAAAACCAAAAACTGGGACACCGCATCTCCCTTCCTGCTCCGTGGAGTGGAGGCTGTACCCTTCTTCCTCCCGGGGGGAGACCCGACTCCCCTTTTGGGCCCAGCCTCTGTGGACTTCTGCGGAGTGCTCTTCCCCATGCTGACGTCACTCTCCTGGTTCTCCACACAGCTAGCCTGCTTGGCTCTCCGCCTCCTCTTCACAGGAATGCACTCTTCCCTCAAGGCCTGAGGGTCTGTAGCAGCTGCATCCCCAACCCCGCCTGGCTCTGCTGCCGCCTCTCCGGAGCCCTCGGCAGCAGTGCCAGCCTCCTTGGCCACCTGGGGGTTGAGGTGTAGCTGGTCCCCCACGTAGAGGAAGGTGAACTTGGCTTTCCGCTCTTCCACTGACATGCCGGCAGCTTCCTCCGCCTGAATGATGCCCATATCCCACTGAGCCCTCAGTTTCCCAGAAATAGGTTTCAGCAGCTGTAAAGACAGACGTAAGACATTAGGACTTTTACTACATGAACGGAAGACGTCACTCACTTCAAAAGACATTTTTATAATTTCAGTTAAATTCAAAAATCAAAAACTATTAAGACCAATGAACTTAGTAGAGTTTAGCCAGAATTCAGCCAATAACTACTGTTTCTTTAAACTAGAATTCCAATCATATTAACCAATGTAATCTAATATACATTAAAAGGGAGATAAAAATTACAAAATAAATTATTTCTAGGACTCATCCAGTGAGTATAAGAAAAATAAGACACTTCCCATACTTTATAGTGTACCTAGGAGAAAGAAAACCATGACAGACACAAGAAGCCATTTCAAACAGCTAGAAGTTCAAAATAAGATAAATGACATAAATAATAAGGATTAAAATCTTGCTCTATGAGCTCACTAAAGGAACATCTACCACCTTGATTTTCTCGGCTTTCGTGGGTGCCTGCCTGGCACTTTCCTGGCATAACTTTTCAAACTGTCCTTCTCCTTCAAAAGCTACAAGGCTCTTCTCAAATATCCATGCTCTTTCTGGGGCATCACCGAAGAACTGTACGTGATACTGGCGTGCACTCTTTTTCTGACCTGATTTTTAAAATAAAAGGATAGAACATGGACATTAGAATTGGGGGAGTTAGGCGAGTCTGCTGCTGTTTGACACTGTCTCACGTGGTGCTGTGCGAATCTATTACCCTCAAGATGTTCCATGCTGCATCCCAAAAGGAAAACTCACTGAGAGACAGAGAAGCCAAGTGTGGTGGCCCACCCTGTCACCCCAGCACTCAGGAAGCTGAGGCAGGAGGATCTCTGTGAGTTCAAGGCCAACCTATGTTGCACAGTGAGGTCGAGGCAGCCTGGAATACACAGTGAGCCCATTTCAACCCGCTCCCAATTACATTTAATTTTAAAAGGGCTGGGATGTAGCTGAGTGTGAAGGGCCTATTAGATGGGGTAGGGGGCCAGGGATACAGCTCAGTGGCATATAGCATATGCCTAGATGGGGTAGGGAGGGAGGAAGTGGAGACACACAAAGCTGCCTAGGAAGAAAATGACTGGCAGGCCCCTCATCTCCTCCCCGCTCCAATCCTCTCAAGGGGCGGCCAGACAAGAACACAAGAGCCAGCACGGCGAGGGCACCTCAGCAGGGAGGCAGAGCCAGGACCACAGCAGGCCCTCAGCACTGCCATCCCTCCAGGTGGGCAGACAGACACCAAACCAAGGGGGCGTAACCCAGGGGGGGTCTGAGAGCGCACCTAGGAGCCGAGCAAGGGAAGCAGGGTGTCAACAGCCCCCTCCCAAAGGAGACTCCTGCAGAAACCTCTGCCTCAGCTCTGGAGACCCCCCAGGGGGAAAAAGGATGGACCAGAGCCCCCTCAGGCTCTGCACCCCACAGCCAGCCTCTGACAAATGAGCCGGACACACAGCAAGTTCAGGGCAGCCCTGCGGGGCCACAGGTAGAGCATGAGAAGGAGACACCCAGCAGGGACACACTCTGGCTACAAAGAGAGAGCACAGGGAAAGAAAAAGCAGTTGAATGTTTGTTTGTTTGTTTGTTTGTTTATTTATTTGTACCAGGAATTGAACTCAGGACCTTGCGCTTGCCAGGCAGGCACTTAGCTATATCCTAGCTATATAGGCTCCTAGCTATATCCCAGGCCCCAAATGTTTAAAGTACAACTGGGAAAATAAAATTCACCAAGAACATCTGGAAGTCGGCATGGTGCACACTCCTACAATCTCAGTACCCTTGAGAGGCTGAGGTAGGAGGATCCCAACCTCAACACCAGCCTGAACAACTCAGTGAGATTATGTCTCAAAAAACAAAAAGGACTTGGGGGTGTATCTCAGTGCACAGGCCCTGGGTTTAATCCCCAGTACTGACAAAAAGTAAAATTAAATTACAAGATTGTTGGAAGATAAGAAATCTCTCCAAAAGAAGATTAAGATGAAAAATATCTATTCCCATTAAAAACGTATAGGATCAATCCAGAAGTTTTAACACCCAAATAATGCTTTCTTTGGAGAAAGGAACAGAAAAACTCCAAGAATTGACAGAAAAGCATGCCTGAGAACTAAAACTCCCTCTTAGGGCCTCATCCCACCCACACCTGGAGCAGGGCACATCTCTGTGAAATCTCACTGATGGCAGCAGGCAGGAGGACAGAAGCCGCAGAAGGGGAGCAAATCACGCAGGACAGACTGCGCGGTGACAAACAAGTTCTACAAGTACCACCTCAACTCTGGGTTCTGGAGGGAAATGAAGCACAGCCTTCCAAATGCTGAGAGGAATTGTTCTCAGTGCAAGATTAATCACATGTGAGGACAGAAAAGCAGAATTCTCTGAACACAGGACTCAAATTTACCTCCCCTATACTACCCCACCCCCACACATACACTGGGGATTAAACCCAAGCCTCTCTTGTTTTTGAGACAAGTTGCCCAGGCTAGACTCCAACTTAGAATCCTCCTGCCTCAGCCTCTGGGATAACAGGTTGTGCCACCTTGCCCAGCTCCACACACATATTATGAGAAGGCCAAAATGTATTCCAGGGTGCATAACACGACAGAAGACAATGTGAGTGACTCCAGGCAGTGTGCACAGCACACAAGGAGAGCGCCAACTACCGCAGCAGCACGGGACCAGCAAGCCGGCGCCCACGGAGCAGAAAGGGGCGGAAAGAGGTCTCAGCAGCAAGGGGAGAGGGCTGAGATGAGTGCCCAGAGCAGGAAAGAAGGCAGGACTCACACACAGGCTTCCTTCTTTGTGTGGAAAGAAAAAAATACATGTATAAATAAATAGCAGAAACCACACAAAGGTGAGGTTTGGGGGCTTGGGCAGTACTGGGCCATGGTGAGCTGTACCCCAAGCCCTGTTTGAATATTTTGAGACAGGCTCTCACTAAATTGCTGAGGATGGCCTCAAATTTACAGTCTTCCTGCCTGGGTTTCCAGAATCGCTGGGATTACAGGAGTCTGCCACCACACCCAGCAGGATGAATTTCAAAGGCAGGGAGATAAATACTTGGAAAAAAAAAAAAAACAACTAAGGCTTTACAGACAGCAAAGTGTATGATTTCTTTCCTTTTTTTTTTTTTTGTAGGAAAATTTATTGGGAAAAGGAATGGGGAACAGGAATAGCTCCTGAGAGACAGGAGGGGTTCCAAATGGGTTGCCCAAATTGTATGATTTCTAAAGCAATAAGTAACTCCAGAAAAACAAAACGTTGCTCAAAAAAGAAATGTAACTATAGTACACAACATGGCCTGATCTGAATATTTATAGAACTGAAATTAAATTAATCATTATTTTTATTTAATACAATAGGGAATTAATTATACAGAGAGAATGGGAGAACTGGTTGGATAGTTTAATATTCATTTTCTATAATAAAAACTCATCAGAAAATAAATAAATGACAACTGCCCCAGGAATACATTTCAGCCTTCTCAAAAAATGTATGTGGAGCCAGGTGAGGTGGCACAGGCCTATGACCCCAATACTCTGGGAGTGTTCAAAGTTGAAATTAATGACTTCTGGGAGAAAAGGGAATTTTTCACTATTAATCTTTCAGTACCAGGGGCTGGGGATTTAGCTCAGCGGCACAGCACCTGCCTGGCAAGCGCAAGGTCGTGAGTTCGATTCCCAGTACCACAAAGGGTAAAAGAAAAAAAAAATCTTTCAGTACCATTTTTTAAAGACACCCTTTAGTTTTTATTACATTATTTAATATGAAGGCTTTTGCGGGGTTCTTTGCTTCATTTTGTTTTCGTTTCTGTTTTTTGGTGGTGGTGCTAAACATCAAACCTAGGGCCTCAGCTGGGGTGCATGCCTGTAATCCCAGCATTTGGGAGGCTGAGGCAGGAGGATTGCCATGAGTTCAAGGCCAGCCTGGACTACACAATGACTCTGTCTCGAAAAAGTCAAAAACAGAAAAAAAAAAAAAAAAAAACAGGGCCTCACACACACCAGGTGAGTATTCTACTCCCTTTAGTACCATCTGATTTGTTTTTAAATGTGCAAACTTAATTTGGAAATGCCTAAGATTCAGGAACATGTTAAGGGATCTGTGACTTCTTCCACTGCTTTTTCTTTTTTTTTTTTTTAGCTTTTTGAAACAGGGTCTCACTACAGAGTTCAGGCTCTCTCTGAGCTCACTATGTAGCCCAGGCTGGCCTCAAACTTGCATCAATCCTCCTGCCTCTGCCTTTTGAGTGCTAGGATTACAGGCATGTGCCATCACGCCCCGCTCTCCCATAACTTTAAGACTTTGAGAGAAGCCAGTCATGGTGGCACATGCCTACAATCCCAGCACTCTAGGAGGCTGAGGCAGGAAGATCGAAAGTTTGAACCCAGCTTGGGCAATATAGCAAGACCCTATCTCAAAATAAAAAATAAAAAACGGGCTGGGAATGTAGCTCAGTGCAAAGGCTCTGGGTTCAATCTCCAGTACTATTTAAGACAGATATATGTCACAGTAGTTTTATAATGAAGAAATTTTACAGTACATATCATGAAATAATATGGACTTAAATTATGTTTATAAATAAATGACACAAAAAATGATCTTGACATGTCATAATGGGGAAAAATGTAAGACATTACTATAGTCAAGTTTATAAAATAAACAGAAATACTTTTTAAGTTATTTTCAATCTATGAACCTGATAACATAACCCAATTTTCTCCTTTCTGATGGCTTTAATCTACATAGCTTTCTTTGGCCCACGTAGAGGTGAATTCGCTGTTTGCTTTGTCTCCGGTCAGCCAGCTGGCTCAGCACCACTGTCCCCACCTTGCCCTGCTGTGAGTACCGCTGCCGACTCCCCCCCCCCCGCCCCCAAGGCCTGGTCCCTCGCTGTACTGTGCTCCTTTCCTCCCCAGCACAGCTCACTTGGCCCCGTGGGGCCCAGGCCTTCTCTCAGATTTTGTGGGGCCTACTGAGTTGACAACAGCCATTCCTACATGCGGAATGGGCCCCACAAGAGACAAGGCTGCCTCGACTGAGGCTCCAGGAGGAAGAGCAGCCATGAAGATGCAGACAAGGGTGGTTCCCTAGAAAGAAGAAGGCACACAGGGCAAAGTTGAGAGAACAGGAGATCAGACAGCTCCCTGGGGGACAGAGCTCTGCATGACCACTGAGCTTCCCAGTTCAGCCCCTGGGGGGCACCAGAGCCCCACCATAGGCAAAATAGGAACTACCCCTAGAAAATGGCCATCCATTTTCCCCACTAACCCAGTGTTGTACAAACAAAAAAATCCCCAGACACGTGATGTGCCATGAAGATGAACAACATGAGCCAGAAGACCTGCTGTGTGGGACTATGCTCAGACTTAAGACCAGCGCAGGAAGTGGCCCCCTGCGTGTGCCAGGCACCAGCTACAGATGACACCATCCCATCAAAAGATGACAGACTCAGGGGCTGGGGATTTAGCTCAGCGTCAAAGCGCCTGCCTGGCAAGTGCAAGGTCGTGAGTTCGATTCCCGGTACCAGAAAAAAACCAAGAGAAAAAAAAAAAAAACGAAGATGACAGACTCTACTTCCCTGTCACACTGTAGGTCTGGATGCCTGAGGTTCACCCTGGAGTTACAGCACCCCTCCCTTTCTGGCAAAGCCAGAACCCCAAAATCTGTGAGGCACAAGACTGGAGGCAGGCAGGAGTCCTGTGGAGCGCCTGCCTCTGAGCTCCATCGCACAGCACAGCCACCCACAGCACGCAAGGAGACACTGAGGGTCCCCGTCACCTGCCCCAGTCCCTTCAGGTGATGCCTGCCCCCGCACTGCCGCCCCCACCTGCCCACAGCCATCTGTTCCACTGCCAGCCAACAGGCAGCATGGCACACAGGTGACAGTGTGAGGACAGGCCCACATGGGTGCAGTACCACTCCTATGGAGCTCAGGCCTCTGGCAGAGGCCAGCAGAGGACATGCCATGTGGCACAAGGAGGGGTCACCTACTGTAACTAATGGGCAGTCCAGACCAGAGTACTGGCCAGGTCCAGCCAGGCAGTAGGCTGCAACAGGCTCAGCCCCAACTCAGAAGTCGTCACATCTCCTCTTCTGCAAACCAAATTCCAACTTTACTCAGGAAGAACTGTCTAAAAGAACCTCAAACCACCCAATCTTTGTTTACATTTCCTCCAAAACCTATTTATGGGTGGCTGACTGTACTATTTCCTCTTTACTGGTGACATATTCTTCAGCTTTTCCATCACCAATTTACCTACCCTGATTTTGTAAGACAAAGATGACCATTTCTAGCTGTTTTCCTCTTCCCACCAGCCTAATAAAACAAACCTAGACATTTTTATAAGTCGAAAGTATAAAATACGATTTGCTAACCATGCTGAAATAAACAATCACTGTACCAGTCAAATAACAAATTCTTTATCACAAAACCTGAAAGTAACACAAGGCAAGACCACTTCTATAATCCTAATTCAACCAGATGAAGTACATACTGTATTTAAGAAATGGCGGAGTAGCCAGGCATGGTGGCACACTCCTATAATCCCAACACTTGAGAAGCTGAGGCAGGATTACCTTGAGTTTGAGGACAGCCTGAGCTACGTGGTGAGTTCAAGGCCAGCCTGAACTGCACAGTGAGACCCTGTCTCAATCCTCCCCTACCCCGAAAAACAAATGGCAGTGTTTGACATCTGAATCAATCACTGACCTCAGGAAAAGCTACAAAAGTAAACTACTGTATGGCCATTTAAGAAGCATAAACAAGAAGCATGGAGATGAGAAAGACTATATGCAAAAGAGAAAGATAGAAAAACAGCCAAAAGGCCAGTACCTTTCAGTTTGGTGTAGTTGTGAAGGAGGGGGTCAGCAGAAACCATGCAAGGCCACCAAGGGTAACCGGACACTTTGGACCACACCAAGTCACCCACATTGTATTTCAACAGGTGGTCTTTGTCTCTACCAGTGTTTGGGCAGGACTCTTTCTTAACTGGAATCTGAAAGGGAACAACAAAAGATTAATTAGGCTACTGGACCAAACACACAGGGAGGGTTGGGGGGGTGGAGATCAGGGGTACAGCACTTGCTTGGCATGCACGAGGCCTATGTCCATCCCCAATACTCCCCCAAAGAATAAGCCACACAAACACGGACCCTAACGAAGGAGCGCTGTGTTTCAGATCACAGCTCCAACATCTCTCACAGCAGCTGCCATGTCTCTTGCCCTGACCTAAAGGATCTGCACAGGGTGCAGCACAGGGAGAGCCCGGCATTAGCAAGACTTCTAGTAAATTCCTTTGGCTTGGTGCATGGTCTTTTCAGGGTGCTTTAATCCCAGAACCCCAAATCCACACTGGCCTGGCCTCCAGCCACATGTCTGTCCATCTTCAAGAGCTTGTGCTTTACCCAACAGCGAGGCTCTGTGCTGAGGCAGGGGCCAGCCCCAACCCTATGTTCAAGTGCTCAGAACTCTCTGAGCCTCAGTTTCTCCCCATACCACTGTGTTCTGCTCTCTGGTAGATGCGAGCACAGCAGCAGGGCCACAGCCTCCTGAGGATGAGCCCCTAGGACTACCACGGCTGCTTTGGGCCTCGGTTTCCTTCTCTGTGAGCCAAGGGTGACACCCCGAAATTACAATCTCGCTGGCTGTTGGAGATGCACAAGCATGGAGGCACGCACTGGTACAGTCATATTACATACTCTCCAAACGTCAGCGCCGGATGATCACACAGCACCCCAGGTGTATCCCACCAGGCAGGCGGAGTCAAAATGCAGGTAACTTCCCCAAGTTTTAACAACACCAAGCAGCAGAGCTGGGGGTAAAAACCAGGTCTCTAGCAACTTGTACTATAAAACATAAGGTTCACTACAACCACAGGCTCTTGCAAAACCCATCCCATCAGCCCAGGATACTAAGTGGGTTTTTTAAAAAGTCTGCCTTGAAAATTACATTAGGAGGGCCAAAGTAGCTCCTGAGCAGTCAAAAGCCACTGTTTTTGCCCTTACACACTCTTGGTGACTTTAAGATTCCAAAGAAACGTCAACAATTCCTCCTGTGTGTGAAACTCAACAAAATCCCACAAGTGTAACTGTAAACTCAATGTTTCAACCTTATTGTGGCACCAACTCATACCCATTTGGGCTTCCCTGCTCTACTCCTCTCAGAGGCCTGGAGCTGCACTCAAGGCCAACGAACACCCAGAATGCCCAGGCCACAGCCCACTGGACAGGAAGAGGGAGGGGAGCCGCCTGGCTTCCCTACTTCCTTCTCCAGGGCCAAGGTCCCTCGCTGTTTACATGGCCTATCCTCACAGAAGTGTGTGACAAGCATCTGCAGAATAAACAGGGTCAAGCACCCTCCACCTGAAGGCAGAGCTCCTTCCAGGTTGGAGGACTGTACCTGTGCTCACTGGTGCTCAGAGCGCTGCGCTCTGACCTGAGAGCCATTAACAGCCCAGTCCTCAAGGAGGAGGCCACCTGGTGGACCACCCAGCGGAGGAAAAGACAGCTGCTCAGATCTCTGCGCTGCACAGTGCACAGTAATCCCCACCCGTCATGTAGTGTGAACTTCAGTCTCACGAGGCCCATGTGTCAGCCTGAAGAATGCCTTCCAGGGAGGAGACCCAGGAAAACAGCACAGCTAAAGGGCCAGGGAACTGGCAGACCTGGGTTCAAAAACTGGCTCTGCCTCTTTTGACTCATTTGAAGAGTCTCCTGCTATACTGACTGAGCTAGCCAGGCCCTTTGAGTCATTTTAATTCCAAACACTTAAGCTCTAGCTTTTCAATTGGCCAGCAGGAATCCGTGGACCTAAGTACCCCACAGCCAAGGCCCAACTGGCAGCAGCCCCATGGGGCCAAGGCCGCTGGTGACACCAGACCTATCTCCCACAGCCTCTAGCTGCCATCATAGACAAAGAGGCGCCCCACTTGGTCCTGCTGTCACCACGCCATCAGGGCACAGCAGAACCCCTCACACATACCTTTTTATCTGCAGGACTCGAGATCTTGGACACCAGAGCCGCTTCCACGAGGCCCTGCTCCAGTAAGGAGTCGTACTTTATGCTCCTCTTCCTGCTCCTCCTCACCTTGCTCTCCGATTTCTGCCCATCTTCTTCTGACTGAGACAGGTCAGCAGCACTGTCACCACAGATAGAAGACTCAAAGAGAGGCTTCCCATTCATGTATGTTTTGGTGATTTTCAGCTTGATTTCTGGAGAGCCATTTTTGATAGGAGTAGTGTTGGGTGGTGTCCCAATTCCTTTTGCTTCCTGGGACTCAAAACACAATTTGGCATCAGGAGCACCAGGTTCACCATTAAACACACAAGAAGTAAGATCTTTCAGCTTCTCTGCTGGAATAAAGGGAAGTGCATCATGGCCATTAAACTTCTGCATGACCCCCTCCTGTAGGCTGTTAGAAAGCTGAGCTTTGCTGAGGAATACAGAACAGTCGCGATTCACTTCACAGTTCTGAGTCTTTCCATTTGTATTGCCAAGGATTTCTGGTGCTTGCTTCATCTTTATGCACTTTACAACTTTCTGCACAGAAAGAGGACCTTTTTTGATGCTAAATTCCATCCAGCTTAGATGCGTCAGTTCTGAGAACACTACACAATTAAAAGAGAAAGAGAAAAAAAGCAACATATTACATTTAAAACCTAGGATATGTACGCAACACCTCTACTGCATAGCTTTATGGAGGTTGGGAGTGGGGGAGTTGAGGCAATTTATGATATTTTATATAATGAATTAGGTTGCAGGAGGCAGCTGTAATACCACAAAAATGACATAGAATCACAAAATGATAATGCTGAATGAAGGCCACAAGGAATTGTTTGTAAAAGGGGTAACATGACAGTTAGGATAGCTAATTTCAAGCTGCCATGACCACCTAAAATCAATGTGACAGGGACACAACTTAACCTGTGTATTTGCTCTTGACACCAGATTACCACCCACTCCCCTAGCACAGGGACACTTTCAAAGAACTGATGCTTATCCCCAGCACCAGAAAGCGAAGAGAAAAAGAAGGATAAATGTATGTGGACAGCTAACGCCAGACCTAGGCAAAGGACAACAGGGAAGCACAGCAAAATCAACACTAATGGGCAAAGAGTCATCTAAGTGCTCCTGTTACAGCTGAGGAAGACGCTGAGGCATGCCAAGGTCACCTGCTCAGCAATGGTTAGAATCAGATCTTCTGACTCCTGGCACAGTATAGCTCCAGGATGATAAAAAGGAAAAAAAGAAAAACAAAAAGAAGGGGAAAAAAAGCAAGCCAAGAGTGACTACACAAACATACTCCCAGTGAGCTCTGGTCTGAGCTAGTACAGTGTTCTACCCTCTACCTCAAGCCCTCCTTGCACAGGCAGAAATTAAACACTTCAGTCAAGGGACAGCAAGTGCAGTGACAGCAAGTGAAGTTAACACATTTATTCATCTGTCACCCAAAGTTCTGCTATCAAGGGGCACCGCCGCTGGGCCACAGGACACACTACCCTGCATGGGGAGCAAAGAGTGTGCCACACTGTCCACATGAGGCCAAAGTGTGGGTGGGGTACTTTTGGAAGACCTCACTAGCTGCACATAGAGTGGTGACATGGAACATGCACTGCACAGCAGTAGTCTCCACCAAGAGACAGCAGTAAGGGTCAAAAACCTCCAAAGTCAGATAGGAGCAGGGAATAGGCAGACACCCATCCAGCTAGAAAGACCAAGACTGCACCATCCCAGACTCCAACAAAACCCTCAGAGAAAGCAGCAGCTAACAGCACTGGAAGCAGGGGGACAGATGAAAACAGAAAGGCTGGAGGTGCCTACGCATGGAGAATGTGTGGTTCTCCACAGGGGCAACTCTGCTCCTCAGGGACACCCAGGCCTGTGGGGAAATTCTCACCACTTAGGCACTGCTACTGACCATCGTCTGGGTCAAGCTTTCTGCTACACATCGTACAATGAACAGAAGGGTGCCCAGGAAGAATCATCTGGTCCAGGTCAAGGATTTAGCTCAGCAGCACAGCACCTGCCTGGCAAGTGTGAGGTCCTGAGCTCGAATCCCAGTACCCCCTAAAAAAGAATCATCTGGTCCAAAGTGTCCACAGGGTCAAGGTGGAAAGAACCTGACATGAAGCAACAGTCACTGGTGTCTCCACAGAAGAGCCACAGAGCTGAGATTTGATTCCCAGAACCAAGGGGACACCGGAAGACAATTAAAACCGCCCAAATTCCAGCTCAGCTTCATGTGTAACACTAAATACACATCAAAGTATTTTGTTTATTTTATCTTTGTTTTACTGACTTATTATGGTGCTGGAGATGAACCCAGGGTTTCATGCATGCTACACAAGCACTCTACCACTGAACCATATCCTCAGCCCTTTTTAAATTTATTTTTTAAACAGTCTCACTATGTTGCCTAGGCTGGCTTCAAATTTGCAATCCTCCTGTCTCTGCCTCCTGAGTGTGCCCCACCATGCTCAGCCACTTCACAGTTCCTAAAGGTATGGTGTGTCAGAGAAGGCTCCACTTCCAGCACACATCACAAACCATCCCACTGGTGAAAATTATAAAGTCTTCACAAAGCATGAGGGGGAGCACCTGGAGGGGGAAAACTCACAATACACCAAGTTACAGGCTGACACTTGTATATGGCAGGTTACAAGTAACCAAACTTATAAAAGAACTGAAATGGGATTCCCGTTGGATAAAAACCACTTGTAAGAATATAACAGAATCCATAGTGTCAGAGTATCATTCAGGATACCGCACCTAGGATGTCATCCAAAATTACTCAACAGAAAAATACAAACTAACCCAAAATGGTCCAAACACTGAAACTTAGCAGACAAGGATTTCAAAGTGTCTATTACAGCAATACTCAAGGATATAAAGGAAAATATAGTCCTGAAGAAAAAACACATTAGAAATTACAACACAGAAAAAGAAACTATGAAAAATACCTAATAGAAACTCTGTAACTAGGGCCAGGGATATACCTCAGCGGAGCAGCTCCTGCCTGCACAAGGTCCTGAGTTTGATTCCCAGAACCAAGGAAAAAAAAAAGAAAGAAAGAAAGAAAGAAAGAAAGAAACTCTGTAACTGAGAAATACTGTATCTGGTTCCAAAGAATCAATGCACGGGCTTTAAAAGCATACTGGACGTAAGTCAAGAAACTTGCTCCATGCTTCTTGGGTTCAATCCTCAATAATCCTCTACACAAATTTTAAAAGGTTAAATACATTTTGAGAGAAATACAAATTTGTCACCATCAGACAAACACTACAAAAAAGTTCTAAAGGAAGTTCTTCAACTTGGAGGTAAAAGGGACCAAGCTAAAACTTGGGTCTTGGGCCGGGGATATAGCTCAGTGGCACAGCGCCTGTCTAGCAAGCATGAGGTCATGAGTTCGATCCCTGGTACCACAAAAAAAAAAAAAAAAAAAACTTGGGTCTTTAGAAATTAAGGGTTCTAAAAATGAGTAAATGTAACAGTATTTGTTCCTATCAGTTTAAAATTGACACAGCTAAGGCAAAATGTGCAGCACCTCATATTTAGGTGCTCTGACTTACACAACTATAAAACATACATGACAACTGAGCATGGGGAAGGGAGCTGTAAACCCAGGTCCTTATATCTAAATAAAATGATATAATAGCAACACTAAGCAGAGTAGGATGAGTTGTGGGAACAAACTACAATCACAGCTAAAGTAACAAGGATAAAAATAAGGTAGCAGAAATATAGCCAATGTATTAATATGATCAGTCATCAAAAATTAAAGTGTAGAGTATTTTTTGTAAGAATTCAGGTTTCTGGCTTCTCTTAGAATTTACCCAGGTTACGTGGCTAAGAAGTCATGGGGCCAGGATTTAATTCCAGGCCTACCTGTTAAATACAGCTTGTATGAGAACCACTTTGCTCTGGGGATTTAGCTTAGCGGTACAGTGCCTGCCTGGCAAGTGCAAGGTCATAAGTGTGATTTCCGGAGTCAGTAAAAAGCAAACAAACAAACAAAAAAAGAGAACCACTTTGCAAAGCCACTTGTTCCTCATGGAATTTTGAGGTATCTATGTTAAATACCTGGTCTTTGTTGGTCTTCCACTGGGAGGCACTGCTTTTCTCACCCGTAGGGCCCGGTTCTTGTGTGCACTGACGCTTCTGCTCCCGACCTGGGTGTGGGCTGCATTTCCCTAGGACTCTGTCTGAAGGCCTCCAGAGAGGTCCACCTTTGCCTCCTTCACAACACTGCCAGGCACTGGACACTCTACTCATCTTTCTTAAACGTTTTCTTTTTCTTTCAGTACCAGGGACTGAACCCAGGACCTTTGCACTAAACTACATTCTTAGCCCTTTTTTTTTAAGTTTTTAGATAGTTTTGTTAAACTGCCCAAGCTGGCTTGAACTTGGGATCCTCCTGCCTGAGTCTCCCAGAGTGCTGGTATTACAGGCGTGTATACCACACCTGGGAAGTTGTTTTTTTTTTAATCAAAATTACACCAATAAATGAAAATTCTTTCACTCTATCGAGCATTTTAAGAAAAATGGAAAACCTGACCAAAACTAAAATGCGGTTAAAAAAGAAAAAACCTGAAAAGCCCAGTAACTAAAGAAACAGCAATGAGCACAGTCAACCCCAGAGAACTTCATCTGTGAGCTTCTCCTACCCTTTGGTGAGCAACCTTTGTACTTGGGAAAGGCGGCAGGGAGGGAGGACATTCGCACATGCAGAAAAGTACAAAGAATTCCAGGACAGATGCACATCCCCACCAGCCTCGGCCCCAGCAGTTCCAGGTCCTGCTGGCAGGAAAGCAAACATTACAGAGAATCAAGATCACTGGTCTTGTTCCGGGTGCCCTCTGTGGCTCCTGCTTCATGGCCATCTCCAGCCCTGAGAGGGAGGAAGACAGTGAGAAGGGAGCCCACCCTCATGGCTCAAGCAAGGACCCAGGCCACACAACAGATGCCGCCCTTCACACGGCCTGCCCCGCCAGGCAGTGCAACAAGGAAGCTGAGGCAGGCAGGCACTCAAATCCAGATGCCTCCTTAGGCACTGCCTCCCACAGGATGAAGCCGCTACATTCCCAAGTACAGGCTCCATGTATTCCCCCAGAAGCAGTCCCCACCTTGAGCTCCCACATATCCTCCAGGTCTGTAGCATGTCATACCAACATACACGTGTCATGTGTGGCCACATCAATACTCTGCTACCCTGTCATACTCTCCACTCTGATTCTGACTACCCAACATGCCTTTATCTCCATGGGCTGATATGTACAAATACAGCTCAGCCCATTCAATGCAGGCTGTATATTACTCATCATGTAAGTATTTCATTCCTATTGTTTAAGTTATTCATAGATGGAGGAAGCACACAACTTAGAAACGATGGAAAGTTTCCTACAATATTATGCAAGGCTGACACAATCCTCCTACCAAAACTAGAGGTGGGGGAAGACATAACTCAAAATCAGTCTATTGGATTGTAATAAATCATACAAAACAAAAGGAAATCAAACTAAGGCATCTCAGTATTAAAATAATTCAATACTATTGGCTAAAAGGATTTATCCAAAAGTAGAAGGATGATTCAGTATCAGGAACCAGCCAG